AGTATTTGCTGTGTGTGAGGCACTGTTCTAAGTGCTGGATAGAGTCACTTTATCATCACAATAGATTTAGAAAGTAGGTACTGTTATTATCTGTATCAAAATCTATTTTCTCTTTCATGATGATGATAACACAATTCTTCTCTTTTAATCTATTAATGTGGTGAATTGTATTACTTGATTTTCATTATGTGGCATCGACCTCAAAATCAAAGGCTAATCCCTACTTGTTGATGAGATATTATCTTTTCTATGCAGTGTGAATTCAATTTGTTAATATTTTGTTAATATTTTTTAAAAATCTGTGTTCAAAGGGGCTCTTGGATGACTCATTCAGTTGAGCCTTGGACTCTTGGTTTCTGCTCAGGTCATGATCTCAGAGTCCTGGGATCAAACCTCTAGGTGGGCTCTCTGATCAGTGAGAGGTCTGCTTCTTTCCCTCTCCCTTGGCCCCTCTGCTCACTCATGCTCTCTCTAAAATAAATAAATAAATCTTTAAAAAAAATCTGTGTTCATGCATAAGATTATTCTGTAATATTCCTTTCTCATGATGTTCTTGTTAGGTTTTGGTATCAATATTATTTTTAATCTTCAATTCATTTTCTTCTCCTAGTTTGGAAGTGACATACTCTAGTTCTACAGTTTTCATTGTTACATTATTTATGGGTTGGAGTATGTTTCCCCACCCCCCCAATTATATTGAAATCTTAACCCCTGGGACCTGTGAATGTGACCTGATTTGCAAATAGGATTTCGAAGATGTGATCAAGCTAAGATGAGGTCGTTGGAATGAGTCCTAATCCAGTACTAGTGGTGTCCTTACAGGAAGGGGAGTCAGAAACTCACAGAAGGGAGATGGCCACGTGAAGTCAAAGGTGGAGATCAGAGATATGATGCCACAAGGTTGGGGCTACCCAAGGAAAGACTGTGAAGGAAAGAGTCTTCAGAGGGTGCTTGGCTCTGCCAACACCTTGGTTTTGGATTTCTAGTCTTCAGAACTGAGAAAACGAATTTCTGTTGTTTCAAGCCAGTCATTATGTGGTAGTTTGTTATGGCAGCCCTTCTGATCTAATACGTCTTAGAATCTACAACCTGCATCATCAATACACCTGAGTCTAGAAGTCACGAGAACCTTTACCCTCTCCTGGATGAATAAGGAGCACAAGGAAACTGCAAACCAGAATCTTTCAACCCTTCTCTTTTACTCATGCGCTTTTGTTGTCTAATATCTTAAGTTAATCCCTTTATCCCCCACTAGAAATTCTCATTACTATTTTATACAGTCTATGCTTTTTTCATTTAACCACATTCTCTACTTTCTTTGGTCCACCAGCTTTCTCGCATCTCTGATCTTTTTTCCAGAACTATATTCTTTCTGCCTGAAGCACATCAATAGAGGTCTTGCAGTGAGAACCCGCTGCTGACAACTTCTCGCAGGTTTAGTTGGGTTTTCACTGGGTGCAGAACTTGCTCTCTGGCCGTTGCATTTGTTTGATGCACTAAAGAGACCAGTGCACTGTCTTCTGTCTTCTGTTCTTGCTGTGGAGAAAACATCTAGCTGTTTGCTAGAGGTCCGTCTATCTGCCGCCCTTTTAAAGGTAACTTCTTTTTTTTTTTTATTCTGGCTGCTTGAGGTTTTTCACTTTACCTTTGGTCTTCTGCGATTTCACTATCGTGCATCTAGTTGTAGATTTATTTTCCTCCCTGTCTCCCTTCCTTCCATTTACCTGAGGTATAATTGACAAATAACACTGTATCTATTTGTGTGTACAGCAGAACGACTTGGCATTCCTATACATTGTGAAATGGTTTCCACATTAAGTTTACTTAACATCCATCCTCTCATATAGTTATAAAACATTTTTTTCCTTTGTGATGAGAACTTTGAGGACTTACTCTCTTAGAAGATTTTTAAAACTATTTTCATGGGGTTCCCTAGATTTTTTTGACCTATAGATTAATGTGTTTCTTCAGTTTTAGAAAATTCCTAGTGATTTTCTCCTCAAACGTTTCCTCTGCCTCATCGTCTCTTTCCTTTCCTTCTAAGGCCTTGGTCAAATGCATGCTAGATTTCTCATTCTATCCTCCTGTGTCTTGTTCTCTCTTTATCTATTACTCCATGTTTCACACTGGATAGTTTATTCTAATTTATATCTAATATATATTATGTTGTATATAATTTGTAGATACAATTAGATATAATTTTATATCTAAAAACCTTCCTAGTTTGTCAGTTAATTACTTCTCCCTATGTTTTATCCAATCCGCTGTTAAAATCCTTCACTGTGTGTTTAACATTTGTTATTTTAGTACTTATTTATAAAAGTTCTGTTTCTTTTTCCAATTTGCTATGACAAATTTTATAGTTTCCTATAATACAAAGTTGTTGTTAATATACCTGTTTCCTGCAGATGTTATCGGTTTGTCATTTGTTTCTTTGAGCATGGTAATTCTGGTGATATTTTAGTCTGTTCCATACTTTCCAAGTCTGAGCAGGGTGCTGGTGTGTCTGTTTCCCATGGGTTCTGCTCGATTTTATTACATAGTATTTCCTTGTGTTTCTGCTAGTCTTTGATTGCTTGCCTTCTTTCCTTTGCAAAGTTATTTGTAGGGATAACCAAGGCCGGGCACAGATATGCCATCCTTGAGACGCTTCAGGGTTGCTCCATTAGGATTCTGGGTGCCCTAGCAGTTGGCTACCATTTTAAACTCAGAATCCTTAGCCAACTCCGGCTGTGAGTATCTGAGTATAAATCCTCCTCAATTCCAGTCTGGAGCCAAAAGTCTCCCAGCTTTGGGGGAAGTGGGATAGGTTTAGACTCACTTTGATCTGACATTGATAATGTATCTCTTTGAAATCCAAGCTTATGGTGAAAAGGTCTCCTGAAAATTGCCCACCTGGATGGGTTCTGAGCCTTGACCATTGCCACTCCTCCCCCCATGCAGGTACTGTGCAGAAGCCCAAGTGAACAGTAACCAGAAATGCTTTTAGGCATAAGTGCTGTAGTGCACTCATTCACTAATCTCTCTGGCTACAGGTTTTTCTTCACAACCTGATCTAGAAACTCCCCACTGTTGTTTTGGCACTTCAGGGTTTTTTTTTTTCTTCTTTGGAGATGTAAAAAATATTTGAACTGGGGGACGTCTGGGTGAGTCAGTGGTTGAGTGTCTGCCTTTGGTTTAGGTCATGATCTCGGGGTCCTGGGACTGAGTCCCACATCAGGCTCACCACAGGGGTGAGCCTCCCTCTGCCTATGTCTCTGCCTCTCTCTTTCTCTGTGTCTCTCATGAATTAATTAAAAAACTTTAGAAATATATATATATATATATATAAATATATAAATATTTATAATAATGTGTTAAAATATATAAATATAAATATATAGATATGTTTGAACCAGTGGCAGGGGTAGGGTAGGGTGTTGATCTGAATGACAGCTGCTATCAAACATGTCCATGATCTCTCCAGAACATAGTGAAATAGGAGTATGTAAATGCTTGTAAAGGACTATACACTATATACATAGCCATGGACAAGCACAAAAGAAAATTTTTATTTTATTTATTTTATTTTTATTTATGATAGTCACAGAGAGAGAGAGAGAGAGGCGCAGAGACACAGGCAGAGGGAGAAGCAGGCTCCATGCACTGGGAGCCCGATGTGGGATTCGATTCTGGGTCTCCAGGATCGTGCCCTGGGCCAAAGGCAGGCGCCAAACCACTGCGCCACCCAGGGATCCCAGCACAAAAGAAAATTAAGAGAAAATGAAAATTCCAGGTATTTAAGAATATGGTTCAAGTCTTTACTAAACATCTGCTTGCATGTCTCAAGGCTGTATGATTTTCACAAATCTTTTTTTTTTAAGATTTTATTTATTTATTCATGAGAGACACACAGAGAGAGGCAGAGACATAGGCAGAGGGAGAAGCAGGGTCTCTGCAGAAAGCATGATGCGGGACTCGATCCTGGGACCCCGGGATCACGCCCTGAGCCAAAGGTAGACACTTAACTGCTGAGCCACCCAGGCATCCCATATTTTCACAAATCTTATATAAGAAGCTGAGCTTGGGGATCCCTGGGTGGCGCAGCGGTTTGGCGCCTGCCTTTGGCCCAGGGTGCGATCCTGGAGACCCGGGATCAAATCCCACGTTGGGCTCCTGGTGCATGGAGCCTGCTTCTCCCTCTGCCTGTGTCTCTGCCTCTCTCTCTCTCTCTCTGTGACTATCATAAATAAATAAAAATTAAAAAAATATTTAAAAGAAGCTGAGCTTATTCAGTCTTTTTAAGTGTTAACATATTTACTGAGACTAAAATAGGTTCATTTGAACAGATGATTAGACTTGTGAATAGAAGCCTTTAAAGACACACAAAGAACCCACAATTGCTCTTATTGATTAGGAAATGAGGCTATATTTCATATTTGAAAAACATCAATGTTTTCTCATACATGCCCTGATACAAAGTTAATGAAATAGAATATTTTCATTAAAGTGGTTAAGAATAGGAGCACGTGGGTGGCTCAGCTGATTAAGCGTCTGGTTCTTGATTTCAAATCAGGTCATGATCTCAGGGTTGTGGGATAGGGCCTTGCATCAGGCTCCCCACTCAGTGGGGAGTCTGCTTGTTTCCCTCTCCCTCTGCCCCTGCCCTTGCCACCCCCACTCTTTCTTAAATAAATAAATCTTTTAAATGGTTTTAAAAAAAAAGACTAAGACTACTGTGAAGACTAAACATTTTTAAACCCAAATTATAAAATATTTGGGTCTGAAGATGTAAGTATATTGTTACATGTCCTCAGCTTATCTATTGTCAAGTTCAAATAATTGGGAGCAATAGTGTCAGCCTTTCTAATGATGTGGCCCACACATTTCAAAATCCAATCTCCATTCTGTTTTATAAGGTATGCTTTTCAAAAGGTACAGTCCAGTACAGCAGAAAATATTTTCTTTTTCTTACTTATAAAACACACATGCTCATACCATTCAATTTTAGAGAACAAATATTGAATTGATTGTTCTTTATTTTTTACAAGCGAAGTAAGAATAATGAGGTAAGAAGAATGGCCATAAAGTATATATCATAGAAAAGTTGTTTCCTAGTCTTGTGGTTTACATCAGCGGTGATGAAGTTGACATAGGGGATAGAGTGAATGTCGTGAGCATTTTCAGGGCCCCGGGCAGTGGTGTTTAGCAATTACAAGGGTTTCTTGCCTCAGATTGTGCAAGAAACCAGACAAATTCTACCCCTCTTGACTCCATAGCTTTCAGATGATCCACCTCAAATTCTAGAGACTTGAGGTTCTGAATGGCCCTTGAGTAGCTGACTCAAGTCATCTTGCCTGAGTTTTCCACATTGGCTTTGTCCATATACTCAGAGGGGAAAGTATATTTCTCTTCAGAGTCAGCACAGCAGAATGGTGAAGAGAGCAATGTGACCTCCAGCGTGGTTGAGGATCAAATATTGACTTCACCACTTACTGCCTTTGGAACTTGGACAAGCTCCCCAATTTCTCTGTATCTCAGTTTCTTCATTCACTCGTGGAGAATAATGACGATTTCCACTCCATAGATTTGCTGTGAGGAATAAACGAGATCATAAATGGAGAAAATTCAAACAGTCATTGGCATATAAAACATGCTCAACAAATGTTTGATATTAATATTCAGACTAGAGAAATATTTTGCACAGGTTTGGTTAACTCACCTGGGGAGAGTCATATTCTTGAGAGAGAGTTTTGAATATAGTTCAGAAATAATTAAATGCCTTCCTTGATTGAAATAGAAAGGCAATTAAGACAATGAAGCATTTTTCTCTGTATTATCTAGGACATATTTTTCTCATTTTCTTTGTGTAATGGGAAAATTTGAAACGCACACAGAGTGGTGACAAATTACTCATCCTGAGGTTAATTGTTCCCCAACAAATACATTTCAAGTAGGGAAGGTGGATAAGATTCCAGAGGCTGCAGAATCCAACTTTTGATAGCATGATGTTTGGGACTCAGGGAGGCCTAGGTATAGGATATTTCCAACATATGATTTTGGAAAAGTTTTGTAACCCCTCTGAGTCTCAGGCTCCCTGATTATAAATTAGGAGTAAAAATACCAAGCTGCAGGTTTGTAGGTGACCAGCGTAGAGTGCCATTACATAGTAGCTGAGCAAAAACCCAAAGATGACTTTGCAACATGTTCCAGAGACTTAACGTAAGCGGGAGCAAATTGTTCGCAGAAAGCAAACCTATTAACCAAGCAAACTGTCTCCCAAATGTGTGTCTGGTTAACTGGAAGGGGGCACAAAACAATTCAGATATGCATCTGCATTTAGGTGGTGAGATGGAGAGAGGTGACAGTGACAACTTGGAATGTCATAGATTGCATGATATGCATGTTCCACGCAGACGATTATCTGATGGCGTTTTATTTATCTCACTAACATGTATTGGGAAGGTTCTATGACAAATGAATAAGTCTGTTCTCAAAGGAATGTGGGGATGAAGAGGAAATCTATTATTTATAGAGAGCCATCTGTGTGATGGGGTATTATATCTGTTGGCCTAGAGTGAAATCTGGCACTGGGTCTGGTGCATGGAAGGTGAGGAGAAGCCGAAGAAAGTGGTAAACCACTCTTGGTAGGTGGTAGCACTCTTGGATTGCTAGGTGGCAGGTTTTATAAGCAAGGGAACTTCCATATGAGGCTCGTCTGGGGAGCTCACAAGACAAGTAAATCTCTGCATCCACCCACATGAGCCTTAAAAGCTTATACAGAGGCCTTAATTGGAATCAGTCACATACACAGTCCAGATGGTCTCAACAGCACATTGTTCTCTTAAGACTGCATCCTTGAAAACAGTTCCCATTGAGGGAATGTTGGGCAAAATGTACAGTCGAAGCACAGGAGAGGATGAGGATGAGGAGCTTCTGATTGCGTAGGGGCAACTGATCGGTCAACCTGAGGTCACATGAGGTTGAATACTCCAGCAGTATCGGAGGACTCAGTTAATGCTGAAATTCCCTTAAATCTCAATGACTTGTCATAATAGAAGTTTATTTCTTGCTTGAATAAAGTTTATTACCCCATGCAGTCACTTAAGGACCAGATTCCTTCTACCTTGTGATCCTGACATATTCTAGAGTAGGGTCAGCCGACTATGGCTCATGGACCAAATTTGATCTAAAGTTTTGGTAAACCTTTTTTATTTTATTTTTTTGTAAATAAAGTTGTATGGGAACACAGCCATATTCATTGATCATGCATAACCTGTGCTCTGTAGCTGCTTTCACTCTAAGATGGCAGAGTGAAGTACTTGCAACAGGGACTCTATGGCTCATGAATCATAAAATATTGCCTATCAGGACCTTTACAGAAAACATTTGCTGAGCCTTGCTCTAGAGCATTGGACTCTTGTGTTGGATTTTCTGATTCAGCTCACAGAAGTTGGAGGAAGAGGCATGAAAGACTATGTGGGAGGTTTTTATGAACTATGGAAATGACTTCCATCAATCCCACCTACGTGTTTTTGGCCAGAACTCAGCCATATAGCCAAAGTGGCTGCTAGGGAACCTGAGAAATGAGGTCTAATGGTGGCCCTGAAGGAAAACACACAGCAATTCTGCACAGAATGGTACTGCTCTAGAGTCTTCCATTCACTCTGTCCTCTTTGTTCTTCAAAAGAACTGTTAAGTTCAGCTAAGTCATTACAAATAAGTTATTTAAAAAATTAAGCACCACCAGACTTACCTGAATAATTACCTTAAAACTGAGTGCTGACTCTAAATTTCTTTCTTTTTTTTAAAAAAGATTTTATTTATTTATTCATGAGAGATACAGAAAGAGAGAGGCAGAGACATAGGCAGAGAGAGAAGCAGGCTCCATGCATGGGTTCTGATGCAGGATTTGATCCCAGAACTCCGGGATCAGGTCCTGAGCCGAAGGCAAACGCTCAACCGCTAAGCCACCCAGGCATCCCTGCCTCTAAATTTCCAAGCTCAAATTTTAGTTTGTGCTTATTGGTGCCAACAGTGATTCCTAACTGTCATAGGCTGGAAAAAAAAGGGACAGATCAGGACGCCTGGGGTGTGATCCCAAAGTCCGGGGATCGAGTCCTGCATCTGGCTCCCTGCATGGAGCCTGCTTCTCCCTCTGCCTATATCTCTGCCTTTCTCTGTGTGTCTCTCATGAATAAATAAATAATTTTTTTTAAAAAGGAACAGAGGTGGATTTGATACTGAAATGACTCCTTTAAGCTTTTCCTACACATATGAATTCAGGAACGCTTTGAGGTAGTTTACAGAAAAATAGAAAAGTGGTAGAAGAATTGAGACATTACACAGGGCATAATTATGTAGACAGGCCGTTTTCAAAAGAACCTATTTTACCAAACTCAGAACCATGTTGATATTTAAGTGGCAATTTAGTTTCTACAAAATGTTATCCAGCATTTTATAGTTTTCATTTATAAATCTTTGGTTTTGTGCAGTTTTTCTTTTTCATTAACTTTGTAATTTGGTTTCACAGTTGTTCAAATGTTATCTGCATAAAGAATGTGTCCGTAGTTTTATACTTGTGCTTCTGTAAGATAGTAAAATTAATTTAAATAAAAACATGAGAGATCCAGAAGGTATTTTCATTCTAAAAGTTAATTGCATATAACTCAAATTTATAAGAGTCCACCCATGAGAGATAGCTCTCTTTTACAAAATATTTAAATTTGAATTAGGAAACTGTACCACTCAGGACAGACTATGTAAAGCTGCAATAACAAACATGCCCCAAGTCCTAGTGGCTTAACCACTTATTTACATTAAATCTATTGCATATTGCTAAGGAATTCTGTTCATTGTGATCATGACAGCAGGACCCAAACTGATGGAGCTACCCTCAGAAACTCTCTGTTTAGCAGAGCGACTCCTCTGGGGGGGGGGGTTCTCTCACCTTTAAGTAAATGCTATGGCTCAGGTAAGTCAGGTGATCACACCTACCTTCAAGGAGAGGACTACAATCTTTCTGGGTGCCCAGAGAAGAGAGAAATCAGGAATTGGTTGACAGAAACAATGTCTGCATCTTCTGTAAAGGAGTGCCCTGTGGCCTGGTTTCAACACTCTCTATTCCCCAGTAAAATTGCAGACTGCTTTCTTAATTTCATAGGCAGTGTGGCTCCTGGGCTACAGCCAAGCTTTGCTGCTGGTGAGCCACATGGCATGGGCAAATCTAAACCTCAGCTCCTCCTTGGTGAAATGGGGGAGAAATGTCAGTTGCATGGTTCCTTGAGAGGAATCAAAGCAATAACTGATGTGAAACCTCTTTGTCAGCTGTAAACTATTATCCAAATGAAGGTAATAGTATTGTTTCTGGCAATCAGTCATGCCACACTAAGGATAAGGAACAGATAGTAATGATTTCACCCTATAGCACTTGCCACACAATCAATATTTTGTCACACAAGTTTCCTGAAAATTCACAAGAAATTTCCTTAGGTCAGATAATGAAAACTGAAAAGAATAAAAGTAAATTTTCTCTCTTAGCTGGAAAGTGACAAAGCATTTTACATGGCCTCAAATCTATATGGCCCACTTTTCTACAAAATTGAGGTTGAAGAAAAAAAGCAGTATCTATCTTGCCCAAGAAGCAGTTAAGTTAGCACCAGCATGAAAAAAATTTTAAATGTTTCACAAAATAGTGCTGAGGATAGAAACACAAGACAATTCTTATACTGTAGCATCAACTCCTGAAACTGATATCACCCGAATATCTCAGAATTCCAGCTTAGTAGAACAGGATGGCATCCTGAACATAATCATGCCTCACACTTTTATTTTCCAGTTGAAGAAATTATGGTCTAAAAAAGTGAAATAACTTTCCCTAGGTCATGTTCCTGAAATATAAGTTGATTAGCCAAATATTTTTCACTTTCATCATCCTGAAGCTATGGAAATGAACACACCGAAGGAACAGATGTTTCTCTGTCCGCTCATACAATTGCTAATAAAATTTCTTCAAATCAGAGTTTATGGCCTACCCTTCACTGAGTATCTGCAGGCTGGCAAAGGGCCCCCTGGAAATTCCTGGGGAGGTCCAGCAATGATTCTGAGATTCCTTCTCAGCACTTCTAAAATTCAGTTGTCTTCCCCATTTCAGAGTTTTCTAAATGATGTTTTGACCCACAGGAAATGCGTGAATTGCATAAGAAAGTGAGATATAGGCTTCTAGTTAAATAAATTGCATTATCTGATTATTTAATTAGATATGGAAGTCTTTCACTCTAGGAGAAGAATTTTAACATTGTCAAGAGAAAGAAAGAAAAAGAAAGAAAGAAAGAAAGGAAAGAAAGAAAGAGAAAAAAAAGAAAAGAAAAGAGAAAAGAAAAGAAAAGAAAAAAAAAGATGAGTTACCTTCCTAGGCATATTAGTCAGGAAAGGCTCAGTTATGCTGCCATAAAAAAAAAATCTCTGGGACTTACAAAAGATTATTTCACATTCATGTTAAGTGTTCACTGTGGGCTAGAGGGGCTCTACTCCATGTCATCTTTGCAAAGAGTGGCCGGCTGAAGGAAACTCCATGTGCCTGCAGCCATGGC